TAAAAGGACTGACCTTCACCATTCCAAGGCTGCTGGCGTGCAGTTCAGGCTTTCCATTGTTGTAACGGGTACCCCTCTCCCACATTCCAAAATCCGGTGTACGATAGGTTCGTTCAATATAGAAGACGAGGTTTTGCACAAAATTGACCTCATGGTGAGTGTAGATGACCTGAAGAAATTTGTTTGAATCACTATATCTACAAAAATACGTTGAAGCCAGGATACCACAGATAACTTTTGTACATGATTTTCAACTATAAAAGAAAAACTTTAAAACTTATGGATAAAGGCTTGCAGATTAGAAAATAACCTTAGCTCCACTTGCAATCATCTCCACAAGAGCGATTATGTACAAAGCAACAAGATCCATCTGCATGTGACCATACTGCTGCTCATTTGGGCGATTCAAAGTCATGCCAGAATGAAGGTCGAATCGCGCATGTAGAGCATTTTCTGGGGAGATATTTGATTTGAAGGCATCCAGCTGCAAAAAATGGAGTAAAATAAGATAAGGATTGAGACAGAACGGTTTCATAAAGCATGATTTGCAGACTTATAAGAGGTATGAAGTATGTAGAGCAGCATTACAGTTAGATACATGGTATGCTTTAATTGCACATGGAGCACTAAGCCCAAACACCAAGGCAAAAATACGATAAAAGCAGTTGACCATTTCTCAAGCGTCTGGTTTTGAGTTTGGTATTTCACTTGCGTTAAAAATCACATGAGAATACATTACCTAGATTAGAGATTAAAAGATAAGAAAATTTGGAAAGATTCACTGGAAAATTAAGAAGGCGTAGTAAAGATTGCAAAACAAGACAGAAAAACCCGTACCCTTGCGCTCTGCTGCATCCAGCAAAACAGAATCCCACGCATCGTTTTCACAGCCGACTGACGAAGCTCCGTCTGTCTTCCTCGTTCATCATCGAGCCTCCTAAAAAAGGCAAAGTTTGTTGACAAATTAGGAAACACATGATGAAGAATACTCACTTGTATGCGATAGAACAAGCCCAACAAGCTAATGCGCAATATATGCTATCCTTAACATAGCCAACATCGCGATCTCGAGAATATCGTGGAAACAATCCAGTGGTTACGCTTTGATAATCGAGAATAAGATTTTGTGCTGAAGAGAAAATTATGGCAAAGAAAATACCCAAATGCATCATTTTCACTCACTAATGGAATAGATATGGTCTATCTTTGATTCAGTGCTAGTCTGTTTAGGCTTGACATGGAATGGGGTAAGATAAGCTTGCGTCAAACGACGGAGTTTAATATTCTGCGGTTGTGACTTTCGTCGACGAGC